TTGACTGGTCGATACAATGAGTGATCTGTGTAACGGAGAATGAAAATCATATCTATATTTGGACGGTTTCTCCTGTTGCCACGACTGCTTTCAATTCTCGAACAAGTCTCTGTAAAAAACTTACTCGACATTTGTAATCACTGCATCTAATTCTTCGAAATATTCTTCTGCCAATTTTGCACAAAACAGCTTAAACTTTTTTCCTAACGTGACACTCGACTCTCCATTTTAAAATTTTTTTTTAATTAGAAATTCTTTAAACTTCTACGTGAAGCCTGTCCGCTTCGTGATTTTGATTGGGATAATCAATTGTATACATACACAAATTCTACAAACAGTATTAATATTCCCATATGAATGTATCAAAAATGCAGCCTTAAATGATACGTGCGATTATTTGTCAATCAAATTATATAGTTTTTATCGTTCTAATACCACTAGAAAGCGAGAAGATAATATTTAGCAAATATGGAAACAAAAAAAAAAAAAGAAAACTACAAACTGATAGTGACTGATTCCACATACCAATGAAACCCAGACAAGCCAAAGAGAAAAGGAGTTCGCAAATACAAAGTAAACCAAGAAAACGAAACCAAAGAAAAAATACTTAACAAAACTACACCAAAAAACACTTAAGACCGTTCCACAAGAACACCGGAAAGCATCCAAGACCACCCCCACAGGAGCACCATGAAGATCACTCAACAAAAATGCCGGATTAACACGTAAGATCCCTCCACAAGAATGTTGGAGAACTACGTAAGACCACTTCACAGGAGTGTTGGAGAAACTCGTCGTAAGAACGCCGAAGAACATAAGACCATTTCACAAGACCTCTTCACAGAAACGTCGGAAAAACATAAGAATGACAAGCTTAAATCTAAAGATGACATCAACGATGATGTTACTATAAAAAAAAGTTTAGTAAGCGAAGAAATTCTACAGATTCATGTATTGATCTATATACTGCATAAATTGATATCTATATGGGGTATTATCAATTAAAACAGCCCTTTTTTGCATGTAAATCATTTTGAATAAATCGGATTTAAAAAAAATATGATAAACAAAAATTTTAATCTAAAAATAGCATTTCACGGTTCTAGAAATTCCAGAATATAGAA